AATCATTTTGATCCAGCTGGTTGAGACCAACACTCTCAAGAAGGCAAAGCAACAAGCCTGGAGGAGGCTGTCCCAGCAGCCTGGGTTTATCACACTAGTCCTGGCGTGTTAATACCCAGACTTTTCTGCGGGAGGAAAGTGAGAGAAAGGAGGGTTGGGGAAGAGAGATCTTTAGAGCAGCAGATTGTTCCCAGGCCTTTCTCAGAGCAGCTGAATAAGCTGAAACAGCCAACCTTTCCGTTAGCAGCCAAATGCCAAATCAGAGCTTCTTATTATAGTATTATAATGCTCCGATGAAAGTCTGAGAAGATGGCAAGAGAGGCCCCCTCGCCTTCATCGATAAAACAAACAAAAACAAAGGCATCAGGTTGACTCAGGAAACTAAGTCAGAAAAGACACGCAGGAGGAGGGTTCATTTGATCAGACTCCTACAACTGAGCAACTGCTTGCCAGACAGATTGAAGATGTGAGAAGAAAAAATGGCTCATCAGTCTGTCAGGGCACCAGAGTGAGCACTTTGTAACCTTAGAAATGAAAATTTTCAAATGCTTTTTTATTTTAACTAAACCAAGAAGTGTAAGGGGGTGGCGGTGGGTAGCACAAAAGCACAAGGATATATAAATAGACACGGGTTGCATGGTGTGTTAGGAAGAGTCTGAAGCCCAGGTGTGAGAAGTAGATTATCATTTGTCATGCTAAAGAATTTGCACTTAATCTTGTAGACAATGAGGGAACCACTAAAGGATTTTAGACAGAAACAGGAGAAAAGATCAGAAGGAAATGTTCATAACAGCAGGGACAGGATTTTCTTGGCTTATTGATGGTTTTCTTTGCCTTTCCACTCTTTTAAAAAGTTCCCATAACGTTGGTTTATTTGTTTTATCATAACTTTACTTGAAAAACGAAAGAACCATAGCCCTTCAAGATATCTGGCAACATTCTAATGTCACTTTACATTACTACAAATGGCAATCACAATCTTAATATTAACTAGCTTTTACTGAGTTTATTTCTTGGGTCCGTCACTATTCTAAGTAAATTACATGCATTGATTCATTTAATCCTTACAATAGTCACATGAGGTGACTAGAGACTAATAAAAACCCCATCTTATTGACAAGAAGTTGAAACATGCAAAGTGATGAAACTTACCCAGGAGTCTAAAGATATTAAGTGACTGAACTAGAATGTGAAGTCAGCAATCTAATCTCAGAGACTTCAAAATTCCCTTTCTTCAATTATTCTGAGATTTTATTTTCACCAGATCATTCTGGCTTGTCCTCCCCATTACTTTTTGGGAAAATCCCATTTGACTCTTGTTGTGGCAGTCTCCAGTTTATGGGGAAGGGACAGAAATGAGAATCTTTGGCACATGTACACGTTAGGTCTTTATTCAACACTGCTGCTTTGCTCACTATCTCCTTCACAGAATAATGTCTATCACAGGGAGATGCTCAATATACATTGGCTGAAATACGAATAATTTTAAGTGCAACATCTAAAAATAAAATTAAATGCTGTTCAATATGCTCAGATAACTAGCCAGAAAATTAATATCAGGTTATTTTTTAAAAATAAGAAATGGCAGAAACAGAATTTGTGTTAAAATGTTAAAATGTAACTGATAAAATTCAGTGAACTCAGAATATGCTTGAACTATTTCAGGGAGCTCTGGTGGCCTAGTGGCAAGAAGCTGCACTACAATCCCGAAGGCATGCAGTTTGAGGTCACCAGCTGCTTCAGGGAAGGATGGGAAATCTCTTCCCGTGTGATTAACTGTCTCTGAAAACCCACCAGAGGGTCAGGTATGGGTGGTCGCTTCTGACTCTTTGGTACATAACAACAACATTCCAGATAGTCAAAACTTAATTCATCTTTGCATATTTTAATAAATAGGGACATGGATATGATGTCACTAAGCTGAATGTTAATGATCTAAGAAGCATCAGATGAGAAAAGAGGTTACTTTAAGGGACACAATAATGAGACATACTTCTCAGGACAGTGCATCCACTGGGCAAAGAGGGCACTCTAGAAACAGGCATGAATTGAGGAGAGGCAAAGTCTTTGGTTTAACTGATTACTGGGTTTAACAGAAAAATTTAGAATTTTGTTTTGTCAAAAACAAAGGATACCTCAGAAAGGAGCACAAGAGTTACAGAGAGCCAAAGTGAAAAGTAAAAATAAACAAGCAAGCAAACAAAAACACAATAAACCAGCCCCAAAGAGTAAAAGGAAACATTTTAAGTTGTCACTTTTCACCTTCTTGAGGAAGGCAATATAAATAAAGATCTTAAGAACCTGTTCTTTTTTTTTTAATTGAAGTTACTTCCTTTTATAATACAAAATTTATTTCCTGAGGAAAACAAAAAAAAGCATAAGATACTAATTTTAGGAATCAGTTATATTCTAATAGTAAAATAACATATGGGTCATTCCACAACATATACACACTCCCTCTAATCAGACTCCCCTGGTTCCAATAGGAAATGGAACATGCTGTTTAAAATGTAGTTTAAAAAAAGCAAGTAACAATAAAAAGAACAATAGCTATTTGCACTTTGTGTATCTGGCTTTCCAAAATATTTTTGTTTCTGTTCACAACAAACCTACAAAGTAGATATTATTTCTCTCCATTTGAAAGATAAGAAAATTAAGATTCTTTCAAGTTCAAGAGCAACTAAATGATATACTTGAAGACACACTGCTGTTTTTCTTATTGTTAGGTGTCTTTGAGTCAAGCACGACTCATAGCACCCTACGAACAAAATATCTGAACCTTGTTCTATCCTGCACCATTCTCACACTTCGTGACACACAAGAGCCCATTCACTGCAGCAGTCACTGTATCAATTAACCTGGTTTAGGGTCTTCCCTTCCCTCATCAACAATATCACAATATCATGTCCTTCTCCAAGGAATAGCACCTCCTAGAAACATGTCCAAAGTATGTGAGGTAAAGGCTCATCATTCTTGCCTCCAAAGAACACTTTGCACCCTCTCCAAGACATATCTGTTCATTCTCTTGGCTGTCTGTGGGATGCTCAGTGCTCTTCTCCAAAACCACAGTTCAAAGATGTCAATTCTTTTTCTGTCATCCCTATTCTTTGTTCAGGTCTTGGATGCATAACTAGTAATTGGCCTGAATCAGGCACACCTTAGTCCTCAAACTGACATCACTCCTCCTCAATACTTTGGAAAGGTTCCTAACTGCAGATTTTTCCAGTGCAATGTGTCTCCTTATTTCCTGACTTCTCATACTGAGGGTGTTAATTGTAGATCCAAGCAAGATGAAACTGTTGACAGTTTCGTTCTTACTCAGCATTGCTAGGTATCAAGGGAAAACTGAGGGAAATATGGCTAGAATTGAGACCATGCGAACAATTATTTTCTTCTTTTATAAAATATGAATACTTAGTTGTGAAGCATCATAACTGTATATTTTATTTTCAAAGAATTTTCCTTATAATTCAAGTTCTAAATTATAATCATGATATAGACAATGATTGATTTAAGTAAGCATGGTCTAATAATTTAAGCATTCACTTATATTTGTACATTTTATTCTTCATAGTTTGGATAACTGGCATCATTAAAACAAATAATGAGAAATTATATTAATCTGTTTTTACCTGGATGGCAAGTAAGATGCTGCTCAGTTTATAGCTTGTATTCCACAGGCTAAGGTCATCCAAAAAATCTATACATGGTCGGCCTGTATATCTATCTACTGTATAAAATAATATATGATTATTGTAGTATATAGTTCGGATTTTAAACTTAGGAACATCAAATTACTATGGGCAAAATAAGAAAAGAAACAAGTCAGAAAAATTATTTACAACAAATTTGAAAGACAGAATATTAACATAGTAAAGCAGTTAAAAGCATAGACTTTGCTGTCAAATACACAAAGATTTGAACCCAAACCCCCATGAGTTAATGCTGAATAATTAACTCCTCTAAATCCTAGTTTTAAAATACGTAAAACAGAGATATTATAAAAATGTTTAGCATTTAGTTCACTGCAAAGAAGGCTAAGACTGTGCTTGGTATATAGTTATTCCCCAAGAAAGAGATAGCTGTTATTCATAACACTGTTATTAATGTGTAAATAATTTTATGAATGATTAAAATTACTTAAAATCCAACAGAAAATGCTTGCAATAAAATCCAAGACTTGAAAATAAATTTTTTAAAAACACAAAAAGAAAAATATTCATTTTTCTAATGAAACAAAGGTCACAGTATTGCACTGTATTGTAAAGTGACAATAATTATAACAGTGTGATGCACCACAAGCTTAGGTATGCAGAACAATACAATAAAATAATTTATTAATAAATACTCATATGTATTAAATTTATTATAGGATAAAGTGAAGCTTTGAATCAGTAAAAAAATGTTATCTATAAACAGAACCCAAAATTTACCAAAAACGCCACTTATTATTTTCCAGGGTCTATTCTTTTTAACCTGTGTGAGAAGAAGCACTGTCTCCTTCCTCCCTCCTGGTTTTAACTGAACACCTGGTTGTTCTGAATAGTTTTCTCCGTTTCTCCTCTGGATCCTGCTATATGACCAAGTTTTAATCATGATATACAAGCAGAAGTGAAAAGTGCAACTTTTGAATCATGACTGCTTTTTTATATTTACGCTTTTCCTTTAAAAGGAGTGAGGTGTATACAGGGGAGTTAAAAACTTTAAAGATGGGGGGACCCTTATACTATAGTCAATTTATTCATCATCATCATCATTTTCTTCATTTTGACTTAAGGAACTCAGTTCATTGATCTTCATTAACCTAACAGAAAACCTATGCCCCAAAACTATATGGTAAAATAACCACATGTATAGAGGTTAGGGTTTACAACATATATTTTTGAAGGACACAATTGAATCCAGAAGAAAACAAGTAGATATAAGTATGTAAGAATTTTTAAATCTCAAACATTCCATGAAAAGCATAATGAAACATTTTAAATTATTGTCAAATTACAGAAAATACCTGCAACATCTATAGAACTTTGATAACACTATTTAGAGGTCAGGAAATCCCAAAGCAAAAAATACAACCAACAAAAATACAGAAAAATATTAAAATCACAAATATTCAAAGACAGGTTTATAAAAATAATAGCATGCTTCTTTTTTAATTGATAAAAATTTCTCCAAATTTTCCATGTCTAGAAGTACAGTGTTAAGTGAATAAGTTACATACACTTTCTTATGTGAGTGTAAATAACCACCAAAAGGAAACATGGCTTTATTTATCTTAAAACTTAGAATTACACGTAACTGTTTTCTTAAGTTTGAGGGCTAAAAGAAAATAACACCTTTT